TAGGGTAAGGGAGGAACGGAAGGAAAAGCAGGGGCCGCAAATGAATTTCTGCAATTTTCAGGACTCATGCACTTTTATTTTCTTTTTTCCTAAAAAAAAATTTCAAAATGTTTGTCGAGACGCTGACCTTATCCGGAGCGCATCAATGAGGAAATTAGACTCATCAGATATGAGGGGCAGTGACGATTAGGAGGATGAGGGAGGGACGAGGGGAAGAAGAGAGGCTGCTAATGAATTTCTTTAATTTTCAGTACAATGCACTTTTGTCTGTATCACTTTTTAAGAGATTTTTAAAATGTATGCTGAGTTGTGATACTATCCAGAGTTCCCCAGCAAGAGGGGAAATGAACGAGAGGGCGAAGGTAATTGCGGACAGGACAGCAAAAGAGGGACGGAGGGAAGAAGGAAGGCGGATAAAATTCTTTAATTTTCAGAATTCATACATCTTTATTCTCACATTCATATTTATTAAAAGATTTTTGAGATTTGCGCTAAAATGCGTTATTCATTAACTGCAAATTGTTAAATATACGATACTTATTAGGAAAAATTCAATCCAAAGCTTAAATTTTTACAAAAACTATGCAAATAAAAAATCTTCAGATTTCAAGGGTAATGCGATTTAGAAAAATAGTTTGAAAGAAAAAAAAAAACTTCAAATTTCTGCAGTCTTGACATGTTCTTATTTTGCTCATTGGTCTGTGCTATTCCGGGCGCTCTACTGTTGCCCAGTGTTCTTGGATCACCGACACACCGGAACAAGCACTGCACAGCTACGATTCAAAGTTATTTTTTGGATAGTACTTAGCTAGTGGCTTAGTTAATATATTTTCGATGGCTTCCTGTAGTTATAATAAATTTTTTTTAAAAATATGTGCGATGATAATGCGGTGATATCCCCGTGAGTTGTGTTGTAACGTAATTCAAGAGGTGGTATTAAATCGTAGTTGAGTGAGCAACGCGTTTGTTGAATGTGCAGTGTGATAAGTTCGACAATGAACAGGGCCATTTATTGCAATGCAAAAGATAACATTTTGAAGTAAGCCAACCCGGATGTAATTAGACAAAGTAGATTTTTGATAAGAATGAAATAAGTCAGCGATTCGACTTAGACAGATTTTGCATAATTCACGACGACGGAAATAATAAATTTTGAATCAAATGGGTATATGAATATATAATAAATTTTAGATCAGATGAATAAAATGGTGTAAAATCTAATTATTTCAAATTATAAATCGCAGTTACTACATACTAGCGGAGGAAGGGGGAGAGGGCTGGATGTAATTTGGAAGTGGTGGCTAGTGAGTGCCCAAGCTCCAAGGGAGCATGGATTGGAGACAAGATAGAGA